TAACAAATGAAAAAAACAACTTTAGTCACTTCCCGTTCAAGATATGAAATCTGCCCAAAACGATTTTAGTCACCTCCCACGCAAGATGTGTTAATAATAATCAAATAAATAATAATAATAATAATAATAATAATAATTAATAAATGTACCAGTTTATGTTTGATTTTAAATTGAAAAAAAAAGTGGCTGATGACGATTGAGAAAAAAAAATGAGATGAGATGAAATGAGTTGCGTTGAGTTGAGTTGAGTTGAGTTTAGTTGAGATGAGAGGAAAAGAAAAAATCTGAGACGACGAGTATCAGAGATTGTTCATGATGATGATGATGATGATGATGATGATGATGCTGTTACTGTTGTTACTGTAGCTTGTTGCTAGTGCAAGAATCGGGCAGGAAGAAGAAGAGGGACGTATGACATTGAGCCGAATGCATTGAATAAGGCGAGCACGTTATGGAACTAATGACAGGATGCACGCCCCTCACGCTTGTTACGCATATGACTCTCTTTCTCTCTCTTTTTCTCTCTCTCTCCCTCTCTCTCTCTTTCTCTCTCTCTCTCTCTCTCTCTCCTCTTTCTCACTCACACGCATACATAACTGCGTATTTCTTTTCGTGCACGCGTTTCACGACTTGGCGCGTGTCTACAAAGGATAAAATCTTTTACCATGGGTCATGGGAAACATCTGATGAATGGAATGAATGAATGAATGAATGAATGAATCAATTCAAGGATAAAAAGAAGACATCCTTTTTTTATATTTAATATTATTATTATTATTGTTCTCATCATCCTAATCGGAAAAAAAACGTATCCAGTGTGTGTGTGTGTGTGTGTCAGATAATTATTTTAAATATTATTTAAATATTATTTACTTTCTTCTCGTTGTACCCCCACCTCTCGTAAACAACTAGTATCAAATCAAGGATACAAAAAATATCATTTTTTATTTTATTATACATTATTATTTTATTTCTTTATATTTTTTATTATTTTATTTTTTTGCAATATTATTATTATTTTCGTTACCATCATCAAAATAAGAAACTTATCGAGTACATATGTGTGTTCGTTTGTCAAATAATTATTTTAAATATTATTTAAATATTATTTGATTTCTTCGCGTTGTGCTCCCACCCTTCGTAAACAACTAATATCAAATCAAGGATAAAATAACACATTATTTTTTTAATATTATTATTATTATTATTATTATTATTATTATTATTGTTACCATCATCAAAAAATGAAACGTATCGAGTATATGTATGTGTGTTTATCAAATAATTATTTTAAATATTATTTAATTTCTTCTCACTTGTACCCCCACCCTTTCCTCATGGCCCCACCCTACCTTTTGTAAATAATCAATGCGTTAAAACCTTTTTAAAATTCAAGGAAAGTTTTCGTAGAGGAAGGAAGCGACGTTTATGAAAGGAAGACGACGAAGAGGGGTAGAGGGAGGGTAAGAGGGGGCTACTCATTTTTTCTCGAAACTAAGTCCTTGAAAGATTTACGATTACCATGTGATTATTTTTTTTTTTTTTTTTTATTTTTATTTATTTCGTATTTTTTTTTCCTTTTTTCATCTTCATGATTCATCTTCTAACTTTTGAACAATACTGTACGACGTGATTACCAATCACACGACGATCTACCGAATGTGAAAACGTGAACTCTCAAATGGTCCCTTTTTTTTTTACTTGATTTTTATTCAAAAATAAAAATAAAAATAAAAATAAAAAAAACAAAATGGAATTAAACACGCGATCAATCATTTTATGACAAAAGATCAAAACTTTCTCTCTGTTTCTGTCTCTGGAGGGTTTTTTTTTCTTTTTTTTTCTTTTTTTTTTCATCGTCACGCACGTACCGATTACATACTATCGATGTTTTTCGATAATATTATACATAATATTAGCCATTGTATAGTGGCTTTTTTTTCACGGATAACATTAAATAATATTATAAAAAAAAAAAAAAAAACAACAAAAAAAAGTAAGGTTAAATTTTTTGCTACAACTTTTGTTAGGTTTTAGGAGATGAAAATAAAAAAAAGAAAAAAAAAGATACTTTCGAAGTTTGAAATCAAATGGAATGCTGCAAACGGTTCACGCGTTTGGAAAGAGAATCGAATCGAGAAAGGGAAAGAACGCGAGAGAAACACACGGTTGGTTAAGAAAAGAGAGATGGTGATAGAAAGAAAAAGATACTAATAGAAATAGAAAGAGTTAGAGAAGGTTAGAAAAGGGAAGGGGAATGGGGAAGGGGAAGGGGAAGGACACACAACGGTCTCTCCATCCAGTTTTTTCTTTTTTTTTTCTTCTTCTTTTTTTTACCCCGAGCTGCTAGGCTCTTTGATTTCGTGTTTGGCAACATACTATACATAAAACCACTCTCTGATAGGATTAATAGTTGTTGTCTGTTAGATAGTGGTTTGTTCTTGCAATCGTGAAGTTTCTTTAACGAAGGCAATCGACTTCTTCGTCGTTGATATAATCGAACTTTTAAATCATTATTCTCATTCGAATCTTGCTGCTAAACTGCTTTAACAAGTTAACGCGAAGGTTGGCTGACTGGCTGGGTTGGTTGGTTGGTTGGTTAGGTTAGGTTAGCAAGTAAGAAATCATACATGTATGACATTCCGTTGAAAATCATCGATTGAATGATTTAATTTGTCTTTTTTTTTTTTTATAATACTATAGACACGTTTATTTATTATTATTGAATTTATTCATTTGATGGAATCCTTCAAAAAATGTAGCAGGTTAAAATCGTGGTCTCGAATGGGTTCAAAAAATATGAAACTACAAACAATAGGTTCCTACAATTAATAATATCAGATAATTATTATAAAAGTATTTGAAGTTTGACGATGAAAAAGTGGATTCAAAAAATCAAATTTTAATATCAATTTGTTCGAAAATTTTTCCTTAATGCACATACTAAGTTTGACGATGAAAAGATGAACAAACAATGCTATTTTAATTTCTATTTGTTCTCAAATTCTTTTCTTATTGCATATTGTAAGTTTGACGATGAAAAGGTGAACCCAAACAAAAATCAAATTTTAATA